CATCTATTGTGCGAGTGATGTCTCTACTAGTGATTCAGCACATTATCCACGGTGTCAGTTGTGTATTAATAAGGACCGTACTTTGGTGAAGAGAAAGACTTAGTATTTTTTTACCTTTGGTTAAACGAGGATGCTTTGTTAAGAATAAATTTTTTAAATTAATTTTTATTAAGAATAAGATAATAAGATAATAAGTTTCCCCGCCTTCATAAATAATATTATTCATGATCTGTAATGGGAAACTAATAATCTAGTTGGAAGGGCCTAAACAATTCCTTCCCTAAAGTTTAGATAGAGCCAACCACAAGCCTCACCAGAGTACTAACAAGTGGATACAGATGCATATAAGTAATTAGCAAGCACTTTTCAAGTAAAATACCCAAAGAAAAAGTTAGAAAGTGGACACACCCACATCCGGGCCCGGGCATCAGTTTAGTTCCAGCTCCGCCACTGTGTATGGTACTTGCACTTGAGCTAACAGCACTACTGGGTAGAGAGGAGTGTGGTCAAGCAACTAAAGAAGAGATACATCTCCTCAGACTCTTCACTCCAGTGGCTAAACTTTACACTGCTAAGAAGGTATGTTTGTTTATATTACTTGAGTTTCTTCCTTGTCTTTTCCTCTTTGGTGATATTACTTATCTGTATTATAATTCATTCTAAATAGTACATGTACTTGTTAATTAAGTTAAATAATAATTACATAAGTATTTGAAGCTTCTCAATAACTAATTGCTATCATGCTTTGCTTTGAGTTGATTTTAATCAAGTTATGAGCAATCAGAAAACATTTAACTATAGCCCAATGATCATGTAATACATGTATGTACTTTACTGTATACATGGTTTTTTGAGGGTTGCAAATTTTGTGTATTCCTGCCTGATTCGCGAGAATCAGTTTAATACAGTACCCACGTGGCACATGATAGAATTCACAAAATTAAAATCCGTGATTTGGAATTTTATTAGATTTCGCAAAATATAATTCTCTCAAAAAGAACACTTACATGGTATTATGCATTGTTTCTTGCTGTGTCCCACAGCAGAAGTGTTTACTGTATATGTATAATGTTATTTGTCATTCTGATATTTGGCTCCCTACAATTCTGATGCATATGGAACGTTTCAGTCAATTTGTAAGAAGTTGTTTCTAAATGGATCCGGAACTCTCTGTGTACTATTGTAACTATATATTATGTGTTTATTCAAGTATATTCTAGAACAATCATGTAAAGTATTCTTGTATGTTATAGAACCTTCTGGACATTTATAAGATCTATATAAGTGTGTTGTTTGTGAGTTTTAGTTTTGAGTTGTGAGTTAGTTCTGTTTTTGTTTTTGAGCTCAGTTGAGTCTCGTGTTGATTAAGAATAAGGTTTGGTTAACAGATAGTTAGAGCGTCTGTTACATTTTTTGGTGGCAGCGGTGGGATAGTTCTCAAACGGTTGTAGAGGAAAGACCCACTATTGTATCTCTGCAAGAGAGAGAGACTAAAGTTTATAGTGTCTGGTGTGACTGTTTATGTCGGATAACAGTCGAGAGAATCAAGGGCGGTATTTTCTACGGGACTTACCAAGACACGACTACAGAGGACAGTTGCGAGGATTACATATTTTCAGAGAGAGTTATACTTCAGTTGATACGGAAGACTGTACTGAAGTGGAAGAAAGTCTTATTACAGGAGTTAGTGATCCTATGGAGCAATTAGCGGCAGCATTGGCAAGTTTAACAAAGCTTCAGGAGGAGCAGCAACGTCGTTGGGAGGAGGCCCAGAGACAAGCTGAAGAACGTCATCAGGAAGAGGAGCGACGAAGAGAGGAGGCCCAGAGACAAGCTGAAGAACGTCGTCGAGAAGAGGAGCGACAACGAAAGGAGCAAGCTGAAGAACGTCGTCGAGAAGAGGAGCGACAAAGAGAGAGACATTATGAAGAGATACAGGCCATGCAGGAGCAGCATATGCAGCAGATAGAGATTATGAAAGGAGTTTTAGCAGAAAGAGAAGGGAATAGTCCTCATTTAAAAATATCACCATATCAAGAAACAGAGGATATCCAAGACTTCATTGAAGCATTTGAAGGTATTATGAAGATACAAGGGGTGAATCGGACAAATTGGATTCTACGTCTGACACCGTTACTAAGTGGCAAGGCTAGAACTGTTTGTACTGATCTTGGAACCACTACTGATTATGA